CCTTTGTCCATCGCAACCACCCTCTTCCACCAGTGGGATCCCTCCATATCTCTGTTGTCCACCTTATCTATAGCTTTATCTATCAATCTCAATAATCAGCCCGCTGACTCTTAGATTTGATTATGTAGCATCGCGTCCAAGATGTTGGACTCCATGCTCATCCTTGATATACTTACCTGCTCATCTCGTACAAGATCTTGGACTCCATGCTCATCGCTAAACTTCTCACTTCTTTGCTTGAGCATGGAGTCCAAAAGCAAGTAGACCTTCCTTAGTTTTAAAGTTCATCATGATAGAAAATCGTATACTTCGCTTATCCAATCTAACCTGAACTAAACTAACCTAACCTAACCTAACCTAACCCAACCTAACCTAACCTAATCTAACCTTACCTAACCCAACCGAAGCAATGCAAAATTTTTTTCGAGAACATATTTTTTTGTCTTTATTTCACCAAAATTGTCTTAATAAATTTTTGGACCCCATGCTCCTATATGGTCGGAGAATACCTACGTCCCACAATTTTGGACGCTATGCTCACCTCGCTTTTTCGAAAAAATTATCCCTAATTAAAGTGAGCATGGAGTCCAAGATCTTGGACATGATGAGCAACCGAATATCATATAGCTGAGCATGGAGTCCAATATCATGGATGCGATGCTACATTACCTTAGATTTTGCCTCCTCTTCTTCCGTCTCCCTCTTCTTCTCTGTTTCCGTGCTGTTTTATTTTTAAGTTCTTCTTCTCGTACTTCTTCTTCCTATCATTCTTGTTCTTTTGCCTTCTTTTTCCTCCTCTTTTTTTTCTGCTTCCGCTCCTTTATCTTCTTTCCCTTTTTCTGCTCCTACTTTTTTTCTCCCCCTCACCCTCTGCCTCCGTTTTTGCTTTCCCCATCTCTACCGTCTCATTCTGCTCCTCGACAAAGTAGATTTCGGAATAAGCTATAGAGACAGGGCTTGCTCTTTATTGTAATACGTGGTCCATCCGATGACAGTTGCAAGTTTAAAAAATTAAGAGAGAGGTTAAAAAATTAGAAAAACCTTGTTCATGATGCATTGATAATGATCGGGAGTAAATTTTTTCATAATAGAAAAATGTTTTATCATTAAATCAGTTAAACGATCTCAGCGTTAAAGACGTGGGCAGGGTCGTGGACACCAAAATGTTGCATTTTTTTAAATGTAATTATGTGAATGCATCCATGAAGCTCTCCTGATAGAGAAATAATCTTAAAACATCGTTTAAATGAGTGATATGAAGGAACATGAATATGTTGAGCAGGGTCGGATTTAAGGGGTGGCCACATGGGCCACAATGTTGTAATTTTTTCAAATGCAGGTATCAAGAAAAAAATCTGATTCAGAAAAAAAATTACAAATGAGAAAAGGCGTAAGAATCTCTCATTTCCTTAGAGTTAAAGTATAGTAATTTCTAATTTTTTCATCTTCCGGTGATACAAGAGACAGCGCCTTTCATTAGTCTAGTTGAGAGAGAAACCAAACACGCAATTTGGCCTGGAGCGGTGCGGCGCAGAGAGCAATGATGACGAGAACTTGAGATGGAAAGGAGAAGTCTTATCGGCGCACCGGTCAGCATGAAACACATATTAGCGCCTACAAGACTCCATGAATACTTCACGCATTGCGTAAAACGTAGTTCAGTCAGCAGCTGTTGGCGGGAAACTCATAGTGCCTACAAGACTGCATGAATACTTCACGCATTGCGTCAAAAACAGTGCGGTCACTCGGTCAGCTCAGCAGCGGTCAGCGTGAAACGCATAGCGCCTACAAGACTGTAGGGATACTTCACGCATTGCGCCAAACACAGTGCGGTTGGCGCGGTGGCGGAAATTAAAATCAGTAGAGCACATTCATGTTTATTCTTATTCATAATTTTTGCGTTCTTTTCTTATAAATGAAAGGCATCGTCCACACAGAGATAGGTCTACGGAACTAAATTTTCGCGCAATGTTCCGTGAACTTTTACTAAGGTTGACAGGGTTTTCAGGAAAAATGTGCCCATCGCGAGGAAACGCGTCTTATGTACCCCTCCTACTCCGGCACGTTCACTTAATGGTTTGTACGGATGTTTCAAAACGAATGAGAAGGGGCGGCAAAATACAGGAGGCCCATGGGCGGCAAGATGGTGAATCCGGCCCCGTGTTGAGAACCCCTGCAACTGACAGGATAGTAGAGATTTGGAGAAATGTTTTCATTCTGATGGCGATATTTATCAGCAAATCGTTACGGCGTGGGTTAAGTGTTTTCTTGTATTGTAGTTCACGACCGCTTTGCAGGCTTTTAATGAGCTACGCCACTTCCGTCTCTCTCTCACTTCAATCCCACCACTGCATGTCATCTTTCGATTGGTTGTATGGATTTTCCAGCATACAAGAGTTTTTTTCTCGTCACGATGTCATTGTTGCCCATCATGAATGTTATAGATAGCATTCATGGTTGCGGTAGATAATTTGCTCTTCGCAATGCAGAAAAAAATTACTTGAACTTGTCGTCAAGAAAATTGTCTTTTGAACCCAGAATAAAATCGCTTGAGACAAGTCGACGTAAATTTCGCTTGATGTGAGTTCTCTGTTTGACTCTCCTGGCAGAAATATGAAAGTTTCTGTTGACTCAAATCAGTTTATTTAACCCTTCACTGGAAAAAAAAACACATTGGATTTAGAGTCCAGACTCTTGAAAACATTGACAAGAAAAAATACTCTTGATTCAATCGGATTTTTGCTTGAATCAAAACGAAATCCGCGTAAATTAAGATGCTTGGTTCTTGATTTAAGCTAGATTCTGATTGAATAAAGAGTACTTTTTCTTGTCGATGTTTTTAAGAGTCTGGACTCTTAAAAGATCCAATGTGGTTTTTTTTCCCAGTGTTAGATGGCTCTGGTGTTGGTCAAATTGACCCGAGGTTTATTATTTTCTGACGACCCATGCAGCCAGTGAGCTGCATATAAACACTTAAGCTTCACAACATGCTTTACAAAAATTCGGGAAAAATTATTTTATTGGTGTTGATAGAAAACAGCAACAATTTTAGGATATTTTAAATGATTTTTGACGAGCACCCCTACTCTTAATAATGTGATGATGCTTTTAAACCCCTAAAAAAGAGTGGAATATGTTAAAACTAATGTTTTTTAAATACGAATCATGTTGACCCATGACCAGAGTTCGTGTAGGAAAAGTGAGTCTTAGTCATCTAAGGGTATAACCTAGCGCAGGAGTGAAATGCGATCGCGTTACTTATACTAATTTCCTCTCTGCAAAAACTGTCTGTTCATCGTGTAATGATTTTATTTTCGGCCATAAAGTTGTCTTAGGAGACGTTTTAGTATTATGCAACACACTTTCTAATTTTTTTTTTATCTCGTGTCTATAAAGCGCTCGTAACTTAATATGGTTGCATTTATTTTATGGACGCAGTTTGAGTTAAACATATTTTTCTCCTCTTTTTCCTGTTTTGCAGGTGCTTCAATCTGCACAGATGTCTCTGCAAGGGGCTAGCAAACATGTAGCAACAATACTTAGCTTGTAACTTATAGTGGAAAATTTGTCGATTTTTTTTTCTAATTTCAAGCGATGCTTTTCCAACAGCCGTTAAGATACGATATCAGCAATACACTATAAAGTTGCAACTTTTCTTGACTTAATTGAGATATATTGTACAAAAATCTTGATTGATACTCTTAAGACAATAAAATTTACACTTAATGGCAAATAAGTTGCGACAAACACGCAATATTACTGCAACTTAAGTGACTTGAGCAATTCAAGTTTCATAAATCTCGAATGGTAAGGTAGCAGTATGGTAGACCTTGGCGAGATTTTGATTGAAAGGTGCTCGACATACATAGACAGATTTATTAGTGTCTATACTTAACTTAGGCCATAATCTAAGATTTTGCTCTGGAAAAAAGCTCTAAAAGTAGTCTGTTTGGTAAATTAAGCAGGATTAAATTAGTTTATACACGAGCTGTTTTATTTACAAATGTACACAAATATTTACAACACATTAAATTATAAATAGATTCAGGAACTGAGAATCTCTGATTACACTTAAGATATAAATAAGGGACAGGTGTAGTATTAGAAGAGAACCGTTTATTATAATGTACATTAAGGCATAACCTAACCATTTGACGTACAGTAAGTTGGAAAAGGAAGTTTAAGTAAAACCTACTGTCGAATTGAGAGATGAAAGTAAGGTAAGTAGGTTCTACTATATTTCTTCTTATTTTCTGATAAAACTATTAAAAAGCTACTAATAATACGGATATGAAACAACAGGGTTTTGAAATTTTAACGATTGAACTTGGAAATTAGAATTGTGTGCCTCGATTGCGGTGTTTGAACATTCCAATTTCTATGTTATTTGTAATGACGATAATGTGTCAACTTCATTAATTTGAAGCTTTTAGGAAATCTTCTTCATATAGAGGAAGATCCGTGGAAATTCTTAGAAAATGACGGTTTTTATTTTTAAGTAAAACATTAAAGCATGACGGGTCGTCTGCAACATCGCAAGCATATTGACTGTGAAACTCCAAAAATGAGGGTCTCGATTGTGGAGCCCTAACATTTCAAGTTTTTATTTACTTTTTTCAAAATTGTAGTCATGTGCATAATTGTATGAAATGTTAAGAGAATATTTTTAAAATAGTATTGATGGACCACTTGATGGTCCTTCAAAAAAGTAAATGTGGTAGGAAATCTGTGACCAAAACCATGCAGACCAAGACTCGTGGTTTTCTAGTTCTACCTCTATTCGAGTTGAAGTACCAATTTACTTTCTGTCTGCTTATAAATAAACAAGAAAGCATACCCTTGATTTCAATGTTCCCGAGGGGAAGAAATATTGTTAACAGACTACAATCAGTTGTCGTATTCGCTTGCACTAAGAACTTATAATTATTATAGATGAGGTACACTAAAAAGTTGTGCAAAGAGATCATATAAAGGCTATTGCTCACCTTTAGGTGCACACCTTTTGCCGTTTTCGTCATATTAAATTTCAATATAACAGTAGACACTTGCACTGACTTTAACTAAAACGTATGATCCGGAGTGAATCATGTTTTATTTGGTGCAGACGTCATCACGTCTTTATTCATAATGCAGTTTTTCATTGAGTATAAGTTTCTAGTTTCAAATGTAAGACACATCTGACAACTCTTGTCAGCTCATGCGATTTTATCAATTGCGTCGATAAATCTTTACGCACTTCACTGTAATGAACTGATATTTTTTGCTACGAAATATCGGAGGGTGTATATCAATAAAAAATGTGTGCAAAGTCAGAAGAAAAAAGCTAAAGAAGTATTAGGTACCACATTTTCATCGCGTTCAGCAAAAAAAAAGCGTTTCAAATTTTTTGAATTTTCTTGAAATTGTCGGTTCTCTTCACCGAGAAAAAAAAACACCGTTATTTTACCATTACAACGGTAGTAATGTCACACGGGATTCCACAGTTGTAGAACCGTGGATTTTGATTCTTGTAACGATGAGCACGGTTCCATGGCCGTGTTCACCGTAATATCATTGTGGGCACAGACATACTATTATGAGCATGGTTATGCTACTGTGCTTATCAATAATACTACCAAAATCCACAGTTCCACTATACTGTGGAATTTCGTGTGACATTATTACCGTGGTAACCGTCGAATGACTGTGTTTTTTTTCTCCGTGATTGTTTACATTTTCAGGGGAATGAAAGCACAAGATCTTTGATTTGATGAAATTTTCACGTGGATGCCATCAGCTTAGATGTCGGAACGTGTGCGAGAGGATGGTGTCGATGGTGGGTTTGATGGTGGAAGTGTTCTGGTGAAGAGAACCCAAATTGAAGTTGGTGGTGACTGGCAGGACTCATTCCCAACGGACTAGCATAGTATGCTGGAAAAATAAAATAATAAAACTGATTTAAGAAAAAATTATTTACTCAAATCTGGACTTCTAAAAATCTAAATCATAATGCGTTTAAGGGAAAAATCTTTGTCAAATACTTTAGATGAATAGCCTAATTTATTAGAATGTAGCTGGTCTCGTAAGGAGAAACATAAATGTTGGATATATCAAGAAACTTTGAGATGACTTATGTACTTGAGAAAGTACTTTATTCTGAAAAAGTTCTCAACTAATGAGCTATAGAGTAATTTGAAATCAATTCATCAAATTTACTAAGAACCGAAGAAAATTGTATGCCTTTCCAAAACTATTTCACTACTCAGGTTTGAAACTAATTCATGATTTGTTGGTTCGTTCATAGATGATGTCAAGTACATAGAGGGGAAGGGAGATTTAAGACTGCATCAAAAATCGCTATGCAAAATTGTAGGAGTGGGAGTAAGGGCTAACATACTGGGAAGGAGGGGTCAAAAATCGATGAATACCTACTCCTAACAGTTGTAGTTAAATCATGATATTTCAAAATCTTTCACCAACGACACCAAATCTCGGGCTCTCAAAACAGTATTCTGTCTGTATGAAAGAGAGTTAAAGCTCTAAGTGATGATAATCCATTTAAATTAATATAGAATTTCTGAATCAAATTTTGTACACAAAGCTTATATGGCCTGGTTACACGCTCAAATTTCCGTCAAATTCCGATCAAAATGATGACCAAGATGGCGGTCGAGAGTTATCTAGATTAACGCGTAAAATTAATTAAAACAGCGTGTTGATTGAAATAAGCACGATTGTGTGGAAATCAGATGACGGATGAGCCCCACGGTTCCATCATCTACCATCAAATTTTTGCAGGCCGCATAAATTTAATGGTAGATGGTGTGCACCAGTCACCATTTGATCGGAAATTGATGGGAATTTGAGCTTGTAACCAGCACACTAAATTTGCCGAATCAATTCAACAGAAAGGAACACGAAAAATGTAACAGAGGAATGAAACATTTTTTGGAGTATGGAGTTGCAAGAATCCCCAAAAGTGATGGACGCTAAAATGTTTACCCCATTTCCGGTAAATAAAAGATAAAGCTAAAAAGCGACCAACTGAAAACTTACCAGGGTGCTCAGAAGCGCCGAGAGGGGCATCGCTGTAATTATTATTACTGGTGGGCTCGGATTTGATATGACTTGTTGCACTCGACGTCGAACTATTGGTTGGCAGAAGAGATAAGTAGGATCTCTCCACGCCTGACATGCTGAGAGCATGCTGTCCTAGGTCTCGGTGGTCACTGGCTAAAATTGGATGCTTCATGTCTGTGAGACACACAAATTGAGACGATTAAATGCTCTTCATTTACAATTCGAGCGCTTAAAACTAAAATTTTTTCGGATTTTCCTCTATTCATTTGTAAAAAAATTGGCCAAACTGACATGTACAGTCCCCGGAAAAAGGGGAAAGGCAATACCCTAAAATTGTAGTGCCATCCCATTTTGTTGTATGATGGCAATATTGCCAATTAATTGTGGCAGGACCGCAACATCTGGGTTAGTAACCTAATTTATTCGGGTAGTATCACAATTAATTGGACTGCATTTTGCAATTTGGTACTATAAATTCTGGCGCGGTTTAAAAACAACACAGGTACCATTAGTTTGCCTATGCACATAAGTGTTTTTTCAGATGAGCCAGAATCTATAGTTCCAAATTGCAAAATGCAGTCCAATTGGAGTCCTACCACGATATATTCAACAAAATATTCTTAGGACAGTATGTTGAATTTTTTTTTTTAAGCCAACGTGCGTTAAAAATTCAGAATAAGCTGAAAATCTCAATACAGAGGGAAAAAGCTCATATAAGCACAATCCGTCAAAGAAATATTATCGTAACTAGTGTTCCACCAAAACAGCATATCTCTTTGAGGAAAAATTGTGCTCATGTGAGCTTCTTCCCCCCCTCTGTATTGAGACTTTCAGCTTTATGCGGAATTTTTGACGCTCGTTGGCGAACAAAACTCCAACATACTGTCTCTCGCCCCGTGTGTCCACCGCAATCAGTTTGTGTAAAATATTATTGTGAATAATTTAATCATTAAAGTCAATTTTGCCAGCGGGAAATGAGTTAATGCTCTTTTGTCTGAAAGACACATTGTACTCACTACTCTGCCATGCTAAGGAAGAACGCCATTCAAGATCGAGTTGCCGAATTTCTGCAGATAAAACATGCCTTTTTGAGGAAAGTTATTCATATTTTTTCTTGAAATTTTCAGATGTTTTAGATCAAAGTGTGAAAAAAATATCTGAAAATTTTGAAGGAAAATGTTCACTATGTTCCCAGAAAATTCTGTTATTATTGAAGTAAATCTGGCAACGTCCAAAGGCTCATCCAGCGTTTTTCCTTAGCCTGGCAGTACTGTGGAAAAATTAGGGGGTCAGCGTACCTGTCTCCGCAACGCGAGTTACAGAGCTATTCGAAGACGAATTAGACTGTTTTTTTGGTTTCCGCTTTCTGGTTTGAATGCCGTCCTTCCGCATTGCCAACGGCCTGTTGACTCCGTGAAGCTTGTAGTATAAACCGCAGGCGTTACAGACGGGCTCCCCTTCATTGTTCCGCCTCCAAAGAGTAGTCATCCGAGTCCCGCAATTTGTACAACATAACCCTAGCCTCCGCGTTGCCGTCTGAAAAATATCACAATGACTGTATTTTTGTTGCCGTCTGAAAAATATCACAATGACTGTATTTTCGTTGCCGTCTGAAAAATATCACAATGACTGTATTTTCGTTGCCGTCTGAAAAATATCACCATGACTGTATTTTTCCCTGTCAATCTTATAAAAACAACTTGAATACCTTAGGCCGACGGAAGAAAAGAGTCCGAGAAAATGGCGAAACATCACTGCCGCACTAAGGAGGAACGCCGTGTGAACATTCAGGCGTTGCCAAATTTCCTTTGATAAAACTCGTATTTCCAGTAAACTTATGGATAATTTTTCTACCAAATTGTTGGATAATTTTGCACGCAATTCCACCGAAAAGTCTTGAAAATTTCAAGGGAAAATATTCATAACTTTCCTCGTAAATGAACATTTTATCGATGGAAATTTGGCAACTCTCGAATATACCTACGGCGTTCATTGAAATTGGCAAAGGCTGACTTTGAGTGGGCAAATATGGATGCCATCGGGCAATGGGAGTGTTGAAGGAGCTTGAGTAACTTTGAGAAAAATAGAGAAATCATCTCGCAGTGAATTTGAAATAAAAAAATTTCATAAAAATAGCTCCGAGTGGATCCTCAGGAGAAGAGCGAGACTCGGTGAAAATAGGAATATCATGAAACGGCGAATTCTAAAGATTTGGATAGCCGGAAAATTACAAATTTAGAACACGTGGAAAAAATCAAGGAAAAATTGAAAATAACGAAACAAAACAGGAAAACCGCCGAATGACGAATTTGAATTTTGGTGGATCGCATGTCAATGTCAAAGGCTGAAATTTTCGGTGGAAACCGGAAAACATGGGAGGAAACAGGAAAGTGATCGGTCAGCAAATTCTAACTTGCACAGAATGTGTACAAAGTGTCAAAAGGAAAACTAGTCGGGCATAAATGGGACATTTTGGGAAAAAATGGAACACAGGAAAGTCATCACGTGGTTAAATTAGATGGTTTGAGTGTCGTAATTAAAATTTGTTAACCACGTTCGTCGGAAATGTGTGATACATATAAGGCTATTAGAGACAAAAAAAAAAACAAATTTTTTGATCGAATGTTTTTCCATCTTCATTTCGAAATCCATAGAAGGTTTGAAATAAAAGTTCAAAACTTTAGATAGTTTTTCCTCTCCACTGTGTCTGCTGTAATACAACTTGGTTTCATACATATTGACTTTTTTAATGCAAATTAGGTATTCGTCTAAAACTTATCCAGGCGATTTTACAAACACATTGATTTTGATTTTTTTTTAATGTTCTTCGCAAGCCTTAAGGCCTTCATCTCCGTAAAGGGTCACATCTAGGAAAAACTGATCGACATATTTCGGGACTTACCAGTCTTTTTGATGGCTTCACTAGTGGCCTGTTCATGCCATTCATCTTATGATAAAGGCCGCAGGCATTGCACAAATAATGACCGGTGCCATCTCTCCGCCACAAAGGGGTTGAAATTGCCCCGCAGTTGACACATTCTCGACCTTCACCCCATTCCAAGCCACCATCTAGACATTGATAAGGTAATAATATGTTGTAGAATTAAAAAAACTGCATGAAGCAATATGAATATTTTGATAAATCCAATGGTGCTCTACTTAGACTTAAAAAATTACTAAATAAATAAATTAAAAAAGGAAGAAAAAAAAAACAGATTTGAATTACGTTTCCGTACCTACTGGAAAAAAGTCTGTTGTATCTAGAGTCCAGACTCTTAACAAAGTTGACAAGAAAAAATACCCTTGATTCAATCGGATTTTGGCTTGGATCAACAGAAAATCAGCCTTCATTATGAGGCTTAACTCTCGATTCAAGCAAAAATCAGATTGATTCAAGAGTATTTTATCTTGTCAATTTTTTTAAGAATCTTGACTCTGGATCCAAGAGACTTTCTTTCCAGTGCGGGCAAGAGAATTGTTTGAAAAGACAATAATCAAAATTGACGTTTAAAGATTTAGCGTCAAAAATTGATAAAGTAATAAGTTTAATAAAACCTAAATTTGCCGAAAGCGTCACACGGCTTTTGACGTCCTTCCCCGGAATGTTCAACACCGCCGAAATGAAGTTAGTAGTGATGATGAGAGGTGGACGCATTTATTAAAATATAACACGCAAATTACAACTAAGCGTCTTTCATAATATTAATAAGATGTCCACGTGGTACAAGTTTACGTGGGAAACCTGTATGTTATTGAGGAAACGTAGGGAGAGCGGAGCGTTACTTGAGCGCGCAAAAAACGCCTACAATCCTCCCGATAGGCATTCCAGCCTACGCGACTGTTGCTCAATCTTTCTTGCTCACGCCAGGCGATTTTTTCACTCCGGCTTAAATTGGTGTTGCACGAGCAAGAATCTACCTCGCTCTTTACGGCCACACACTGAGAAAATTCCATGGCTTATAAATCAACTAGTGGCTCATATGGAACACCACTAATAGTGGTACAGGCAATATCGACGGTGAAACTACCAAACCAAGTATCTCGTTTGCAATGTTTAAAAATCTACGCTCACATTTTATTTTTTTGAAGTAGACCAAATCAATATCATTCCTCGAATTTTTCACAGAATTTTCTTCGCACGAAAAGGAAAAATCAGAGAAATTTTTAGACTGGACGTTAAGTAGTTTTTCGTTAAAAAAATAAAGTATGACAGGAAGTCTGCGACGTCGCAAACCGAGATACGTGGTTTGGTAGTTTCACCGTCGATATGTATCAGTTAGTTGATTTATTAGTTGCTTTATTACGATTATGCTATTTACGTCGGAGACCGGGAACTTACGTTGAATTTCTAAATTTACTTTCTAAAAGAGCTTTAAAATGTCGTTAATTACTTTTGGATTACCAGAGCTTAAATCGTGTTAGTTAGTTAGTTATTTTATTCATGGTATTTATACCTTAGTATAGTTCAGAGACTGAGAATCATTAGTTCATTGACCACTATTGGTGGTGTTCCTTTTGAACCACTAATTGGCTCATAAAGCCATAGATTTATCTCCGTGCAGTAAGTACTGAATCTCACAAATAATGGAGACGATAAGCCGCACAAGAGTTCTCTTAAGAATGCCAAAATCAGTATCATCCTACTGTGAGTCCTAAACGTCTGGTGTGGATTGAACGTAAAGAAATAATATCATATCTTTATACAACTTGGAATAAATAACTGTTTTAAATATATTTAGATTAAACCAAATCTGGTTAATACGAGGGGCGTTCAATAAGTAAGTATCCCCCCTCTCTAAAATCCATAAGAATGGACCAATTTTAAAAAACTTGGGCTCAAAATCTTCCTTAGGATATTTTGAGTTCAACAAAACAAACCGCAACAAAATCGGACCATGTGCGGCCAAACGCGAGCCGTTTGAACGCGCCGAGGCGCTCGACGCTCCCGCCGAATCTGCGAGGATTTGAAGTCCGCTACAGGAGAAGAGCTTCTCTGCCAAAGCCTCAGTCGTTCATCACTGACGAAAAATCAAAGAAATTTTTGTAGAATAAGGGGCTTACCTCACTTCTCAAAATAACCAGCTCGATCCAAGCAAGTCTGATACTGAGACTAAGACTAAGAGAACAGCTTTTGGATGCCTCGTGCGTGGAAGTCTTTCAGCTGACCGCGGATGAAAGAGTGGACGGCTTGTTTGACCTCTTCCACTGATTCAAAATTAACTCCTCCGAGTTCAGATTTCAGATATGATAATAAATGGCAAACCAGACCACCATTTATTCCCATTCCTGAAATCTGAACTCGGAGGAGTTAATTTTGAATCAGTGGAAGAGGTCAAACAAGCCGTCCACTCTTTCATCCGCGGTCAGCTGAAAGACTTCCACGCACGAGGCATCCAAAAGCTGTTCTCTTAGTCTTAGTCTCAGTATCAGACTTGCTTGGATCGAGCTGGTTATGTGGAGAAGTGAAGTAAGCCCCTTATTTTACAAAAATTTCTTTGATTTTTCGTCAGTGATGAACGACTGAGGCTTTGGCAGAGAAGCTCTTCTCCTGTAAAGGGACTTCAAATCCTCGCGGATTCGGCGGGAGCGTCGAGCGCCTCGGCGCGTTCAAACGGCTCGCGTTCGGCCGCACATAGTCCGATTTTGTTGCGGTTTGTTTTGTTGAACTCAAAATATCCTAAGGAAGATTTTGAGCCCAAGTTTTTTTAAAATTGGTCCATTCTTATGGATTTTAGAGAGGGGGGATATTTACTTATTGAACGCCCCTCGTAGTTTTATCGAAAAGTGCGAAATTTTAATATTTTGTGCCGATAAGGGCGTGAAGTTATTAATTTGAACTATGATTCGGTAAGCTCGTGCCTTCAATTCGGAGCTCAGCAGGTTGATATTTCAATAATTTTTCCGCGACGCTGCCTTTTTAGACAAACTGATTGCGGTAGACACGCGAGTCGTATGGATAGTAAGTTCGAAGTGTAGCCAACTTGCGTTACATTTCAGAAAACTGAAAATATCAATACAGAGGGAAATGTTCTCAGGAAAAATTGTGCTTGGATGAGTTTTTTCCCTCCGTAATGAGATTCTGAGTTTTCTGAAATGTAACTCACGTTGGCTACACTTCCAACTTACTGTCTAAATTTTTCGAGGTGCAATTCCACCTCGTTTCACACAGCTTTCGCGGGATACTTTTGGATATATGTCTCGAATTGTTTACAAAAAATGCTCTTAACTCTGATGTTAACCTCGCAAGTTTCAAATCATGAGTTTTGTTATTAATGCAGGGGCCAAAAGGAGGATGAGGGGAATGCGCAACTTCTAGATGCACGAAGTGAATCTAGCATATCGGTCTGGTTTCATATATCAATGAAGAAATGCTTTCTCCTTGTAGGAAGCGAACATATTCGCCGAAGTTTGTTCGTGATCTTGGCTCGGCGTGATTTTGCGGCACGAAGTATTACGGAAACACGTTCTTCACTGTGTTTTAATCGTCTACGCTAGGAAATATAGATTTCACACGATTTTGCGTTCGTGATTTAAAACTTAAACTCGTTCATTGTGACCGTACAACAAAATCTACAGGAGTAGCGGCATAGAAGAAATGGCTTTCGAGCAGACATATGTAGCAGATTGACGGTGAAATTCCCAAACCACGTATCTCATTTGTGGTGTTTAAAAAAACAAGGTCCATAACGTCACAAACCGTAATACGTGGTTTGGAAGTTTCACAGTCAATATATGTGTATACAGTCTGTATGTGTATACAGTCTGTATGTATAAACAGTCTGTTGTTGATTATCATACTCATATCACTGAACATCAATTAACCTCATGATTCAATGAGTGGAGCAGTAATATGTTTGATGAGTTGTTATAATATAAGGCACACATTTTGAAAATATAATACATCCATCGTACAGTTGAATTAATCGAATAGTGATTCACATATAGTTTGAAAAAATTATCTCTCTATCTGCATTCGATCTCATATTTAACTGACCGAAAAGTCCAGAGGAGTTGCACATTTGGACTACATTTTGCAATTAGAGTTCAGAAACTACAAAACCTCAGCCACAACTGCCTCAGAAGTAACGTAGAAACGTGCTATTCTTTGTTTCCCTATGAGCATACAGGTTTTTACAAATGAGTTGGATATTGTAGTTCCCAATTGCAAAGGAAGTTCATTTATAACTTAAATTAATCTTTTTCTTAAACCTTACGTTTCAACCGCGTTTAGCAGAAAAGTACTAAGCCGCATCAGCTATTGCCAAATTCAACAGATGTAATTTTTTACAAGAGAACGTTTGTGCGGATTTCTCCGAAAATTTTAAGGAATTTGCTTCGTGCCATACAGAAAATGAACTAAGAAAATTAATCTGTACCTGTCAAAGGGAGAACAATGTCTTTATGCTCATTTCAACACATTACATTGTTCCCTCTTTGAAAGGGACAGCCAAGTACTACGTTTTTAGGTTTTTACAATTTTTTACTGATTTATCCAACTTGAGAGGGCTGAGTTCTCTGCCGAAACGTTTTGGTTATATTCGTGAAAATTAGCCTTGTTGCCTTGTTACCACTGTGTAATTTGTTTTACTATCGTATTTTTGCTTAACGCGGTCCATTTAATTATTGATATTTCCGTGGTTTTTTTAAACATATTTTCACGTGAAAATATTCGACGTATCAAATTGAATCAGTGAGTTCGAAAACACACCAACTCTGAAAAAAAAATTGTTCAGAAAACACCTAAAACTGCGCAGCGGGCGAAGAAGTTAGTTTAAAAAAAACCTTTATAGTGTCAAAGGACAAGTACCTAGAGATTTTGTGAAGCACCAAGTTGAAATCGATACACTACGTTTGATGACAGAGAATTAAGCGTTAAAAAATTTCCGAGTTGGTGTTTCCGTTCTCACCGACTTGCAGATGCTGATTTTTCATAGTTTGCCCTGAAAAATTTATATTTTTTGATCTGAATAACGCTTGAATATTTATACAACTTGTTGGTACAAGGTATACTGAACCGAAAAAAGAAAACAGCAAAATCGAATGGTCACCCGTTTCCCGTGAAATGGCCAAAAATTGGTATTTCCGACGAAATACTTCGATTTTTCCATTTTCCCGTCGCTGTTTCGAGTACTTCCGATTGCAATTTCGAAATCTCCCTTTGGGTGTAGATGCATCTGTCCATAACTGTTACTAAACCGTAAAAAAGTGATAATCGAAAAAAACCCCGAGTTGGTGTGTTTTCGAACTCACTGATTCAATTGATGTCCCTCCCAACGAAGGTTACCAAGGTCGACAAAGCACGATTATTTTCCCTGCCGCATTCAATTAATTGTTATGATGAGCGCAATTACCGTAGGGCGACGGGCTCTGGAAGGCGGCCGTGGAGTCGTAGGCCTTCCACATCCAGGAGTTGTGCTGGTAGAAGGAGGCGGCTGCCGGCTGGTGGTGGTGATGGTGGTGGTTATGGTGGTGGTGGTACATGCTCGACATCGGGGACTCGTGCATCGCTCCGGCGCTGCCCCCTCCCGCTCCCCCGCCCCCTCCCCCGCCGCCGCTGTTGCTGGTAGGCGGGGTCGAGTGCCAGTTCCCGGCGGAGGGCGTCGCGACGGTGGGCAGGCCCGCGCCGACGCCGACGCCGACGTTCGGGTGGTGGTGGTGGTGACTCAGCAAAGCTCGCGACGAGGGGACGTAGACTGGGTGTTGCAGGTTCCCTGAACAGAAAGCGTTCCTCCAATCACGATACGTCTACAGAGTTGGACTACATTTGGATCGCATTTTGCAAAAAGGAACCACAACCATTACAATGATGCTAAGATTGTGCAACATCATTCTTTGCAATAAAATTAATGAAATAATGAAAGAATATGAATTGCACATGGTAATTTTTGTCTAAAATTTAAAGTTGTTAGCGAGTAAAATAGAAACTGTTGATGGACAAGCAGGTTTGCTTCCAAGACAAAAGAAGTTGTATAATCTTAGCAACATTGCAAAGCTTCTGGTTCCTTTTTGCAAAGTGCAATCCATTTGATGGGCTTGGAGGACAGGGCGCCAAAGAGCAGTTTTCGAAAAAATTGAGATTTCAATGATTTCAAGTATAACCGGTCTTAATGCATATCCTGTGAAAAATTCCCTCCCAAATTCCAATTTTTAGGGATCAAAAATTGAGTTCGAACTTTTTTTCCCGCTGCACAGGATCAATGTAATTTCTAAACTTTAAACACGACGTATTTCTTGAAATAGCAAAAACTGCGCTTATGCGCCTTGTCCTCCAAGCCCCTTCTTAGGCTTGTCTTTTGCAAAAAGGGACCAAAAGCATCCCAATGTCGCTAAGATTGTGCATTTTCTTCCTTCTTAGAACAAACTGAGCTTTGAAACAATATGTATCTCTGCTCTCAATAAACTACGAATTCAAGATGGAGATTGCCCTAGTAAAATTGATTTTTTGCATGATTCAAGATAATTGGAGTTATATTCATAAATGCGATCCATTTTGCAATGAAAATTGATTGTGTGAGGAGCAAAAAGGTTTTTAAAGCCAAAATGAATTCCTGGAAGTTTAGTGCTAAACTGAAATTTCATATCACCAAAAAGTATACTCGCTGTATGTATTTGAATGTAATGTGGATTGCATTTTGCAAAAAGGAACCAAGAGCTCTCCAGTATCGCTAAGACTATGCAACTTTTTAAACCTTGCAAATATTAACTGATCATCTAAACAAGTTTTATCTTTACTCTCAATGACATATAAATTCAGGACAAAAATTACCTTCGTAAATTTCATTTTTTGCATGATGTCAGGAATTTTTTGCATAGAATGTAAGTTGCACAACCCTAGTAACATTGGAATGCTGTTGGTTCTTTTTTGCATAATGTAATCCATTTGGACCGCGTTTAGTAGAAAGGAACCAAGCAACATAAGCTATTGTCTTTAACTGGGCATTTTAATTTTTCACATGAGAACGTTTATGCGGAATCCTTTGAAAGTTTCAAAGATTTGGCTTCGTACTATACAGAACATTCATTGTAATTAGTACGAAAAAACGCACAAGCGTTTTCATGTAAGAAATTAAATTGTCCAATTAAATTTGGCAAAAGCTGATATAGCTTGGTCCTTTTCTGCTCAAAGCTGTATATTTTGCAATGAGAAGCCATTGTGTGAGGAGTGAAAAGGCTTTTTATAGCCTAAATGAATTCCTGAAAGTTTAGTGCTGGGCTGTTTCATATCAACAAAAAGTATTCCTCGAGATATGCATTGTAATGTATGTAATGATTGCGATGTATTACATAATAATGTAACATGACCTGAGCCATAGTCATGAACTGTGAGAAGGTGTAAGCAGGGTATACGTATGGGAAGCACGAGTAGCCGCAAATAAGCGATTTTGGGGGAAAATGTTGTAACATCCAACCATAAAGTTACTTTGGCCCGAAGAAGTGTCTCCTAAAATCTGTATATTTTCACGAAAGGCTCAAAATGCTGCACCTCGTGAAAAGATAAAGTTATTGTTGAAGCCTGACTTCTTGAAAATGTTGATTTCTAACGGTGGGATGATAGGGAAAATTAACTCACCTGAGGTTGAAACATCAGAATATCCTCCAGTGGGCGCACTTGAAGGTGCGGAATGGTACATTATACAACACAGCTCTCCTTAGCTGGTTTTTTTCTTGACATTGATCATGGAGGAAATTTCAATATTTGAATGCAACAGAGGACGACCTGCACAAAAAGACACAAATGAATTGTATTAATTATCAACACTGAAATTTTTGTTCCAACTTAAAAAACGAGAGTTGGATGCAGCACAAATGTAAAAAGGAATATTTATTTCGAATTTTCTTTGAAGCTTTATCGTCCGTTCCCTGCATGTTCGCTCTGAAATTGATGATGGGCACATTTCCCTGCCATCCTGTTGATAACGCTTACTCCATTTTACCTGGGGGAGCCGCGATTACCTCTGAACGTTCCACGATAACGATGTTTCATGTTCAGGCGGTTAATTGCTGCGCAACAGCAACCTCGCTGCGCATTATTATTTAAATGTAGGTGATAAGCAAACTCTTGTCGGAAGTTTTCCTTTTCCCATGTTGATAAACGCGAAATCGATGGCCCTGCGGTGAACAAACGAAAACATCGAGCCGGGAGCATTAAAAAGCTCTAGATCTAGAAGTTCACGCACTAGTCGATCACACTGCTATCCAAAATTTGTACAAATGACAATTCCATTAAAGTTTACTTAGCACGGGGAAAAATTTGCTGTTAAATTAAGAGAGATTCAAATTAATATAATGCCTGGACGAAATTTCTCGTGGAGTCAACGGAAAATTTCCTTCTCTCAAACGGGTTTTTTTTTAATTCAGTAGACGTCCTGTCTTTCCACAGAGATATCTGGTTGAGTAAAGGACTTTCATTCGGGAATTATGTACCGGAACATTTTTCTTAATGTGTAAATCGTATGTCTACTGTAAAATATTTCAACCACGCGAATGTGTTACAAATATAAACGCAGTGTTCCAGATATAAAGTATCAAACTGGAGAAGCGTAATCTATTGGTAAAATTCATAAGTTTTTTTTTGCATAAAGTTTTTTTTTTTGGAAATTCGGAAAAGTCATCATTTTTCCTGAATTTTGGCGCCGATTTTGAACAAAATCTCATGAGAAATAGCCTGTATAATTTTCAGCACAGAAGTTTTTCATTGTCTCAAAAATATCGACATCTTTGACTCTGGAGTAATTTCATGAGAACTTGAATCTTCCAAGATAAAAACTTTGGTTGCCCCTCGGACCCCCTGAAATGTCTCTTTTACTCGGAGACTCAATATTTTTGAAGCCATAAATGTAGTCAGCGCCAAAAATTGTCAATCATGAACATTTTCATGAATCCTGGTCAACAATCGTCGCCAAAATTCAGGAAAAACGAGAATTTTCCTAAAAAGAGGGAGTCGTATCATCGTCCGAGGATACATTTGGAAAAATTTTGTATTGAACAAAATTCTTATATTTAACAGCGATTTTTAAATATTGTTAGATAAAATTTAACAGATTGTGGATTGTCAATTACAGAGCAGATTCCTCTAGTTCTAAACTCATGCATAGAAAACAATCCTGCAGCCTGGTAGTTTAACTCTCAGATACACTGTATATGGAATATGGACTGACTGTAAGGCATCCTTCGCGAACCATTTACCTACATATTGGATACGTGAGGCTTGAAACAAATACTTGACCCAACGTTATAGCGGGGTCGGACCCTGGTATGTATAAAAAGAATATACATTTAATCTTTATGATGATTGTTAATGAATGGATTTTACATTTTCAACGAGAATTTTTTTTCCCCGAGTAATTATTAACGAGAAAAGTCGTTTTTTTAGTTGTAAGTCGTAATTTCCTGCTATACTTCAATTATCGATAGTGTTACTTGTTCAGGTTATCAGAAAATTTCTCCAAAATAACAAGGCTTCTGCTTTCTCCGAGTTACCGAGGGAAAATCTTGAGTTACTGACGTAAAAATAAGAGAAACAAATGTTGAGCTATCCAGATCAAATTTTTCTGGCCCGTCTGTAGAGTGGATCGAGAATTTTCTTCGAGTCGAGTTACCAAGATTTTCGAGATATCGAGACTCGAGCTATAAAGGTTCGACTGCACCGATTAGGAGACTAAGAGGACTCCTATTAGCAAAGAAAAGAGGGCGAACGATCTGCGAGCCAGAAAAAGGAATGAGAGCCAGCGGTGCGAACAAGTTAGTGGATGTGAATTATTTTCAGTATTCGGAAGTTCGTGTTGCCACACTGTATTCCTGGAAACCCATGGGATCACATTTTGGTGCTCATTTATCACGGTTTTGGCATTTTGTGCGAAGCGGCATCTTCGGGTAATTCGTTAGCTGTTGGCGCGCGCCTCGAGTGACCCAAGTTGAGTTATAACAAAAGGGGCGTTGTCGCTGACACCTCAAATGTTGCGGGGAGAGCCACATCCCGGTGTCAGGGGAGAGGGCTCCTAATTATCTTGATTAACTGTTGACGTTACCTTTCGCCGTGCTCTTATTTATTAGCGATTTTGTTTATTTTAACCTTTTATAAAATATTAGACCATCGTTTAGTGTCTAGCTTCGGTGGGGGTGAGACCACTGCTTAGTTTATGTACGTGAGATTGCATACGTTGCAGGCTAATGTGACTATGTACGGGGATAAGGGCCGTAGATCGCGAGGGTTAAATGTGCAGTAAAGTGATCTTTGTCCAGCAGTAGGGCGTATGAGCCGTATTTCTACATTTTAACGGAAAATAATCTGTTTTTTCCTTATTAATGAAGTCTGAACGATGAAGTCTTTTATATCGTTTCAGAGATATGACATATCAAAGAATTCTTAAAAAAGAAGTTTCCTGTGTATTCATTGTTTTGTCGCTGATGATAAACCTGATAAACGCTCCAATTTTCAACGGTGAAATTCCATAACCACTTATCTCCATCACGGTGTGTCAAAACCTCCTTTCCCTTTTTATTGGTTTTCTAAGGAGAGTATCAACATCAC